CTTCTGATGCTTTATAAAGCCCAGATCAGACCTTTTTTTAGTATTGTTCTTAGGTATGGAGTTCTGACCCTAAGCATACCCTGAAGCTGCTGGATTCCATTCAGAACAGAGCCATTCGCCTGATTGGAGACGCGAACATAACTCGCAACCTTGATAGTCTGAAACATCGAAAAAAAGTTGGAGATGTTTCTCTCTTTTATAGAAACTTCCACGGAAAGTGTTCAAGTGACTTGGCACATTTGATTCCACCAAGAGCGGTACATATCAAAAATACGTGACGGACTGTGGCTGCTCATCGTTTTTAGGTCAACTCAGTACATCTCGAACTTTTCACTTTTCACTGAAAACTCTTCCATTTGGCATTTCTTCTTCTTCTTCCATTTTGCGTTTATGTAGAATAAACTTCCTGAGAACGTTATCTCAAATGGATATAATCGCTAGCTATTCAAATCCAACGTAAATCGCTACTTTGGCACAGCACCTTTGATGTGATTTTTGTTTTCTCTTCTTTCCTTTTTTTTTATAATCTTAGTTCTTTGAATTGATTTGTATTTCATGATTGTTCCAAATTTCATTATTTATTGTAATATTTTTATTCAATTCGTTGAGAGTAAATATTAATTTTTTTAAGAAACAAATGAATATCTTGAGAAAGATTCATTTTTGGTATAGGGTGTATAACATAAACTCACTTCAGAATTATGCCGGGTATTCAAAAATAATGTGACAAAATACAGTGTGTTACGTTTTAATTAAGTGAATTGGTACCAACTTCCGGTATAACCGGAAGTGTTGGAAAAACGCCATCATTTTTATTCGATAAAGCATGATTATGAAAACCTATATATTTGCCAAATTTGAAGGGTTATATTTCAAAGGTACATCATATTTATACAAAAAAATATGGAAATATTCCAAAGAGAAAAAGGAAGCGAAGTAACTTTCAGATACAAGCTGACAGAAAAAGCCCTTTCGAAACAACTACTTTTATATGAACATTTAATTATACCAAAAACACTTCCTGCTATTCAGTTTTTATTCCAATCATTCGTTATAGTATATGAATGAGGAAAACATTTCACTTATATAGAACACTGTCATCCTCAATGGGGGTCATCGATGTTTTGGAATGAGACACTTACCTTATTGCTTCTTCAGCACCAATCTGGATAACATTACAAGATAAACCACTCAATTCATTCATAAAATTACGACGTTATGTTACGAATAAGTTAAATCTACTTATGTCATCGATGACAGTGTATAATGACATTCATTCGCTTATTCGTTCAATTCCAGCCATACGAATTTCGTTAAAATGGTAAAGGCATGTTTTAAGATGGATCAATTATCAGGAAAGAAAGTTTTGGCTTTCTACTTCTCCGTCTTCATGCAAAAAAATTCAAAGTAAACTACTTACACACAGATGTGTATATAATGCAAAGAAGAACTTTCAGACACAAACTGAAAAAAGCCCTTTAAAAACAACTACTTCCATATAAAGATTGAATTACACGAAAGAAAAATTACTTTCAATAAAAATAGAAATTAGAACAAATATCAATAATTAACCAAAATGTAAAGACAAAAGTAAATCACAGCAAATGTTCAAAACGCTGGCCTTGTTCATGATAACACAACTGTGCCCTTCTTCGAGTATTATTCACTGCACGATTAATTTCTCTCCTCCTCTATCATCCGAACTCTCTAACATTGCTGTGTTGAAGGTCCTCAATATTTTGATATTCTTTTTGACCATTAACTCTATTTCTCAGCTTACCCTATAAGAATGTATCCATAACACTTAAGTCTGGAGACCTTGCTGGCCACCTCACCGGCCCATTATTCCCTATCCATTTATCACCAAGCCTTGCAGTCAGGTAATTAGATACTCAGCTGGTAGTGTTCGACATTAAAAACTGGTGATAGGTTTCTTCATTCAGAATTCCGTCAAATAAATGAGAACCAAAAATTCTATCTTTGTAAATTCCTGCCCACACGTTAATACTAAATGTGTTCGTTATTTCGGTAGAATATTCTCATCATTTTTATTCGATAAAGCATGATTATGAAAACCTATATATTTGCCAAATTTGAAGGGTTATATTTCAAAGGTACATCATATTTATACAAAAAAATATGGAAATATTCCAAAGAGAAAAAGGAAGCGAAGTAACTTTCAGATACAAGCTGACAGAAAAAGCCCTTTCGAAACAACTACTTTTATATGAACATTTAATTATACCAAAAACACTTCCTGCTATTCAGTTTTTATTCCAATCATTCGTTATAGTATATGAATGAGGAAAACATTTCACTTATATAGAACACTGTCATCCTCAATGGGGGTCATCGATGTTTTGGAATGAGGCACTTACCTTATTGCTTCTTCAGCACCAATCTGGATAACATTACAAGATAAACCACTCAATTCATTCATAAAATTACGACGTTATGTTACGAATAAGTTAAATCTACTTATGTCATCGATGACAGTATATAATGACATTCATTCGCTTATTCGTTCAATCCCAGCTATACGAATTTCGTTTAAATGGTAAAGACTTTTTTTAAGATAGATCAATTATCAGGAAAGAAAGTTTTGGCTTTCTACTTCTCCGTCTTCATGCAAAAAAAAATCAAAGTAAACTACTTACACAAAGATGTGTATATAATGCAAAGAAGAACTTTCAGACACAAATTGAAAAAAGCCCTTTAAAAACAACTACTTCCATGTAAACATTGAATTACACGAAAGAAAAATTACTTTCGAAACAACTACTTCTACAGAGTGTTTCAAATCTCACCATTGTGAGCTCGAAAACTATGAGAGATACGAAGATGGTTGAATTGGGAAAAGGTTGCGCATTTACCTGACTAACAATATTATGTTGAGGAAGTTCTGAAATTCCGAGTTTATCCGGAGATATCCGGGAAAAACAGAAATTTCGGAAAATGGTTTTTATTTTTTCTGGCTTTATTTTTCGAAGGATTCGAAAATTAATTGCACTTCCACATTGCCACTTTTTCCCTACTACATGATGGCGTTTTCATATTTGCTATCCGACGTTTCGACTTCCGGCCACCATCATCAACTTTATTTTTTCTTATAGGTGCTACATTGGATTCTTTCTATTTTGAATAGAACCAGATTTTACTTTTTCAATGTTGTATTATAAGTTATCATTCTTTTTCAAAAAATTGGAAAAATTGAAAAAATCAATTCTTATCATAATAGGCTTTGACTTTCATGTTTCTAAATTTGACTTTCAATTTGTTACACTCAATGACATTTTGTTATTGTACAAGTCATTGGATTTTTGCGAAAAATGGCTTTCACGAATGAAGAAAACAGAGATATGATAGAAATTTATTACAAATACGATAGAAAGAGTGTTAGGACATCGGAAATGTATTTAAACTTGTATCCCGAAAGACGACAATCACATCGAACTATGTTCAAGTAAATGGATCAAAATCTCACTGAGTTTGGTTCGTTTGAAAAGCCAATGAAAAAATACGGAGACAGAATCAACAATCAGAATTTGATAAATGATGTGTGTATGAGGTAAATTAAACATTGTACCCTTTTCAATAAAAATAGAAATTTGAACAAATAACAATAATTAACAGAAGTGTAAAGACACAAGTAAATCACAGCAAATGTTCAAAACGCTGGCCTTGTTCATGATAACACAACTGTGCCCTTCTTCGAGTATTATTCACTGCACGATTAATTTCTCTCCTTCTCAATCGTCCGAACTCTCTAACATTGCTGTGTTGAAGGTCCTCAATATTTTGATATTCTTTTTCACCATTAACTCTATTTCTCAGCGTACCCTATAAGAATGTATCCATAACACTTAAGTCTGGAGACCTTGCTGGCCACCTCACCGGCCCATTATTCCCTATCCATTTATCACCAAGCATTGCAGTCAGGTAATTAGATACTCAGCTGGTAGTGTGCGGTGGAGCACCATCATGTTGAAACAAGAGTTTCTTATAGTTACTCAAAGGTAGATCATCCAAATAGTCTTCGAAAATCGACATTAAAAACTGGTGATAGGTTTCTCCATTCAGCATTCCGTCAAATAAATGAGAACCAAAAATTCTATCTTTGTAAATTCCTGCCCACACGTTAATACTAAATGTGTTCGTAATGTCAAAGCCTATTATGATAAGAATTATTTTTTTCAATATATCCAATTTTTCGAAAAAAAAATAATAACTTATGATACATCATTGAAAAGGTAAAATCTGGTTCTATTCAAAACAGAAAGAATCCAATGTAGCGCCTATACGGAAAAATATAGTTGATGATGGTGGCCGGAAGACGAAACATCGGATAGCAAATCTGAAAACACCATCATAGAGCAGGGAAAAAGTAGCAACGTGGAAGTGCAATTTATTTTCGAATTCTTCGAAAAATAAAGCCAGAAAAAAATAAAAACCATGTTCCGAAATTTCTGTTTTTCCCGGATATCTCCGGATATCCCTGGAATTTCAGAATTTCCTCAACGGCATATTGTTATTCAGGTAAATGTGCAACTTTGCCCCAATTTAACCATCTCCATATCTCTTATAGTTTGCGAGATCCCAATGGTGAAGATCGAATTTGAAACAACCTGTATATGGATATTATAGTAAATAATTATGATTATAGTAAATACACACCAATACAAAATGGAATAAGTGTTTCTAATTGTAATCTAAGCTATCAAATCATATATCTGTAAATTTGTATTGATTCTCTGTGCATCTTAAGATATCGTTCCGAAAATTTGTAATGCTGAAGTCATGGTCCAAGCATCGAGCTCGCCTACCATAACAGGGGAATTTGAGGCCAATTGCAGAAATAGTCCCGCGTTCTATTCTGAAGTGACTGACTTTGCTGGGTTCTCACAGCGCGCGCGATAACCAATCAAAAGCTGCTTTTCATGGCCGCAGAGAAGTCAAGACGCCGATGCCACAGTAGAATGCTAATGCTCTTAACTTAGTCAGTCTGTCTCAAGACATTCAAGTGAGTAGTAGTGTCCCAACTTTCTCAACCGTGGAGTGATAGAGCCACATTAGCCCTGGCAAAAACAGCCATGGCGACTGGTAAGTCTCTGTAAATTACTCCTCACCTTTTACACCCCATATTACAAATACTGCTGCCGAAGAACTAATGGTGATAGTGCTTTGAACTAAAACTCTGTGACGTAAAAAGGATTCTATATCAGTGCTTCGTGAAGTGCCACAGCAGAGAATTCCTACAGGATAAAACATTCGACAACTAACCTTACATCTTCCTGCAACAGCTGTTACCAAATTCATATTGCAAAAAGGAAAAATATCGCTACCTGTTTTCGAAAATTCCGGACCAATTGTTTTTTTGCGGCCCTTTGTGAATTCCGGGAGATTTGAAAGTGACTTTGGATACCAAACGGGCAGTTATCCTTGAATCCCTCAACCCACATTCCTTTTCTTTGCCGTTTATTAACATATTTTCTTCAAACTTGTCCTATTCTTTGAACTGGTTTGGGAGACTGCAACAGGCAGTTAAACGAGAAACTCTCGAAAGGCGATTAACCTAATAGGCAGGGGGCTTAAGACCAGTACAGATACCTATTCACTCTAGAATAGGAATTTTGTAAATTATTTTCTTTTGATGAGATGTCATTACACGAGCAGGGAGAAAACTGAATGCCATTTTTTTTTCATTCAGGAACGTCACTTCAAATGAATTGAAAATGAGTATCTTGTTTTTACGATATCAGTTTCATAAACTCAAATATAATTTCGAATGTGAAATGTCAGTCATCAACTATATTGCAGAGAGTATTTGATAACATACAATTTGTAAAGTTTTTCAAATTCTGGATTTGTCATGAGTATAATCATATATTACTTACGCTTACGATAATTTCGCGTCGCGTAGATATAAAATATTTTTATGAGAAAAACAAAGAACAACTTCTGAGTTGAGTTTTGAGTTGTTACTGTTGCCAGTAAAAAAATGAGTTGGCAAATTAGTTCCATAAATAGTAACTTCCTGAAAATAATATAATCAAATTGAAAGGGGGTATATTTTTAAGAACGATTTGATTTTAGGGAAAAAGATTTCGCTCTCTAGTTTTCCATCTCAATACAAACGAATGTGGGAAACAAATTGGTTGCTTTCTTCCTTCGTTTGGAAGTATCCCACATTTTTTGTATAGGCGAAAGTTTTTTTTCCCAATGTAATATTAAGATACATATATGGCTTTGATGCTTTAACTTGTTGACGTGGGTTCAAAATATTGAATTAAATTCTTCCCTCAGTTATTCAACTTCCTGTTTGTTGAGAGAGTGCTTTAGAATACCTGTTTATTCATATGATCCGCTATACAGTCCATCAAAGTTATGGGCCTAACGGTAAAACAAGTCTGCCAAATTACAACGTATGATGTCATTTTGAGTTTTGTAATGTTCAAACAGTTCATCACAAGTATATAATGGAGAACTTTATACACGTGTAGAAAAGGCAAGCTTTTTAGTCAACCGCGATAAATTTCTACATAAATTCAAAGTATTTTTCACAAAAAATGTTTTATTTATCGGTAACTTGCTGTATTGCTTAATTTTGCTTCGTCTTCAGAATTGAAAGAATATCAAGTATACTGCAGTTTTTTCTTCACTGATTCTCTTCATTTCTGTTTTTCGACAGATTTCAAAGGATTTTTGAAGTAAGAAATAAGTCACTGTTGTTGATTGGCTCCTGAAAGATTCGATGAAGTAGGTACAGGTTTGTTCCCTGATACTTATCTGTTCCTAAGAAGTTTTCGAAATATACTTCTCTCCAGATATAAGAATACAAGAGAATTCTTTTCTTTTCGTCTTTTGTCTTGTTTCATTCAACTCGGTGTTCACTGTCTGATTTTAAAATGTGTTCTGACAATTTTGATCCTGTTAATTGTCTATTTCTGATGTAATATCCATGTTCATTGTCACGCCCTTTTATTGGTCTCGAAGTTTCATCAATATATTTTTCCACCAGAACAATTTGTTTTATAAATGCAATTTGTTTTTCCTTCTGTGCTGTTGTGTTTTATATGTGTGAGTATAGATCTTAGCGTATTTGTTGTTTTGTAAAAAGTTCTACCTAATCGTTCCAAATAGTTCTGGAATGTAAAGCATATCATTAGTTGTGAAAGGTGTCAGTGGTTGTTGAGTTGGTGGTTGTTGAATTTTTGATGAAGGTCATTTGGTTTTTAATTAACTGTTTATTTTGTATTACATTTATTATTGAATCTACAAATGAATCTGAATGAGCTTTCCTTTTCATAACAAATTTTATCAATAATACTTCCTTATTAAAATTTTTGGCTGAATTGAAAATTGTTTTTGCTCTGTTGCAAAGACAATTCATTATAAATTCTTGCAACACTCCTATGATGGTTTGATGTGTATTGGAGGTCTTCATTAATATGAGTTTTTGTTTTTTCGATGAACTATTGTTTCAAATTGATCTAAATATATCGGCATTAATACTCGTAAATCATTAAAAAAAACATTCAAATCATCATGATTTTCACTAATTTATTTTTTCATGTCATTGTGGAACAGTAGGTGCAAATACCTAATTCAGTATGAAGTTAATTCGAATACTGATTATTTCAGAATTGCAAATTTGGCGTAATATTTTTTGGAGAAATCTTATTCCAATTTTCAGTCGTTCGTTTTATGCACTTAGACCTGTCACTTATTTCAACATTAGTTTTTTTTCTCGATGCATGCATGACTCGTAATTTAAAAGCTGAGTAACTGGTTTTCCTCTTGGTTCACTTGGTGAGCTAAGTCGACTAACATTTCTGCAACTTCATAAAGGAATCGACAAGCACATATGCATACGAAAAACTTTTGATTTTTTAGATAATTGGTTAATTATTTTCTTTACTGTAATTGGGAATCTTTCATGTTCATATATTTCCATTTAGATCAAAACATTATATAAGAAGGAAGTACCAAACGCATATCTAAAGCACGTAAAAGCTAGAACTAGGAACTCTGGCGTAGAATAAATTCAACAGAAGTACTGCTTTCGTTCAATGAGTATAATTCATCTCTTGATGACGCCAACTTGATTGGTTGAACGCTTGTCACGAAGTATGTTGAAGTTCTCATTAGGTAGAGACAGTGTTTATGCTTCTCCTAAGACATGTGTGTTTGTGATATGATAGAGTGTGGAACTGTAGTTATTGGGTTTAGCGAATATTCTTTGGAAAATAAATAACACGGAAGAGCTACTACGGATAAATCCAACTCAATTTGAAACCATTCCGATAAACGAACTTGTTTATCAAAACCGACGAACAGAACATTTCTTCCACTTCATTTTGTACATTCAAAAACTAATGAAAACTAAGTCGGATTCATCATGGATTTCATATATTCGTGAATGTGTATATTTTTGTGAATGTGAAATCATTCGCAGATATAGAAACAAACATGGAGTGGTTCACTGAAATGTTTCCTGAACTTTATCGCTAATTAAAAATTCACATGTGGGTTTAGGAACCTTGGGCGTGTAGTGTCGTAAGTAATATTGTGGTATAAGTCAAACACAAATGTTTCAATAATTTTAGTAAACCCACTTGATTGATTATCGGTCATGTGTTTCATTTCATATTACTTTTTCTCCTACTTCAGGAATTGGTGGAACTTGTAGATAATATCCATTCAATCTACTTTTCGATTCACTCTGATAGCAAAAAAATCACATTATTTCATTACTATTTATATGATACATTTCATGAGTGTTTCCCAAAAAATTATTTGATTAAACTGTTATATTCTGAAGTTTTCTCTCGTTATTAGTTTCATTTTCATTTGAATTTTTTAATAATAATTCAGACTGTGAAGACCAGTAACAGTCGGTTGTAATACAATAAATAGTGTAAAAGAATTTTCAAACCTAAAGGTGAGCACATCGCCCTTCGTCAACTTGCAAAATGAATGAAAAACTTGTTTCTTTTACAAAAATTATATTTATATAACTGGTGAAGGAAAACTTTCCAGAAATGGCAATAGAAACCAAAATATATTACTTTAGGTTTCTGCAGAATTTGAAACCCACTAATACAGTTCACACGTCATTCGCTATACAATAGCTTCTCCAAGCAAGAAACGTTCCTGGTCGAAGACGCTATTATATAGCGAAGCACGTGTCACAGTGTTTGTAAAATCTGTTATAGTGAAAATATTACAGAGTAAACTATATTTTATTATAACCATTCAAGAATGAAATAAACAAATTTTGCAATTCTTTTAGGAATTTTTCCCTGTCAGTTTCCCCGGAGCGCCAATTAATTTTTATTGTTTTTATTTTATTTTTATCGTCAAAAAATTCAATTTTGAAATAGAATATTTATCTGAAATGAACACAAAACTCAAAGTTTCATTGAATGTGAAAAATAATCAAAAATGTAGGTCCTGAAGATATAACATAGTATATGAAAGAGATAAAATTTACTTACATGAAACACTGTCTTCCTCAATGGCGGACATCGGTGTTTCAGAAAAAGGCACTTGTCTTATTGCTTCTAGATACAATATTGTGTAGAGTTTCTGTTGATGATATCTGATTCAATTCCATAACGAACGTTTGGAGGGCAAACTGAATAGAAAAAACCCGATTTTATGTATAATTCATTGTTTTCAAATGGCTTTCTTTCTTCCAGTTTTTATCTGATAGTAACTTCTGTGCATGATCTACACATCTTTATAAAGAGTTCATTTTGCAATTGCTTTCTTATATCTTTTGGGAGTTCCCCACATGTTTTTTGTATGAAGATCTAATAATAATAATAATATGCTTTATTGCCCAAAGAACATTATGTCTTATTGACAAAGCTACAAATTTCCATCAGTCATCATAAACATAAGCATATATATATATATATATATACACATATACAGATACACATATCTATACACACACATACATATATAGGGTACAAATTATGTTAAAATACTCAAACACATATAAAATTGATTGAAGATATCATACGATAAAAATACCAAAAAAGTTTAAAATGTTCAAATGCAGTATACCATACTTTGTTCAATAAAAAATACAG